GGGGGGGGGGTCCTGATCTGCCTGCTGGATCACAGGAGACTGCTCCTGCCCCCTGGGACAATGATGGGCACAGCCTGCACCCAGTGCCAGGAAGATTGGTGCTGTCACTGGCCTCAGCCGGCAGCAGCAGTCTCTTGTCATCTGGCAGGCAGATCGGGGCCTGCCCGCATGGCTGTGGGGGCTGTGCCGGACTGCTCCAGGGAGTGCAGGCCCCCCGATCTGTGTGCTGGATCACAGGAGGCTGTGGGGGGGAGGGCGGCAAACCGGGGCAACTGCCCTGGGGCCTATGCTTTGTGGGGCCTGCCAGAGCTGGGCAGAGCAGCTGTGGTGACTGCGCCGCCACCAGCTTTAGTGTCTGGCCACTCTCCACCCCCACTGCTGGCACTGCCACCAACAGCAGCAGCAGCTGCTCCGTATCCAGGGCATGTAGGATTGCTGCTGGGTCTGGTCCCTGCGCCAGAGCCAACCCAAGGAGGGTGCGGGGCCCATGGCAAATCAGCTCGTGGGGACCTCCCCTCACCCTGATCCCATGTGCCCTGGATGTGAAGCCACCGCCAACGTGCCGCTACAGAGTCACCACAGCTACTGCGCCCAGCACCGCAGGGCCCAGGGCAATCGCCCTGATTTGTACCCCCCGATGGCCCTGGCTACCACTGGCCCCAGCCGGCAGCACCAGCCTCCTGTCATCTGGCAGGCAGATCAGGGGCTTGCCTGCACCCCAGGAGGGCTGTGGGGGCTGTGCCGGACTCCTCCTGGGGGTGTGGACCTCCCACCTGCCAGCTGGGGCCAGCAGCAGCACCAGTGTTCCCCATGTGGCCTGCGCCCAGTGCCAGTCCCAGGCGGCAGTACCAGTCTTCTGTGATCAAACAGGCAGATCAGGGGCCCGCACTGTCGGGAGCAGTCTGGCACAGCCCCCGCAGCTGTCCTGGGGGTGCAGGCAAGCCCCCCAATCTGCCTGCTCCATGTCAGGAGGCTGGTGCTGCCACTTGGGACCAGTGCTGAAGCCAAGCAAGCCTGGCGTTGAAACTTTAAACTTTCGAAACGTTTTAAGTGCCCTTCTTTTGTTTTAAAGACTTTTGTTTAGTTTCAATTTCACTGTTTCGAGCTTGAAATGCATTGAAACAGCTTCAAAATGAAACACTGCGCAAATTTTGCACAGCCCCAGTGCTTAGGACTGTGATTCA